CATCTTTCCTGTTTTTTGGCAGGCGAAGCACTCATAGTTCACATTTGCTTTAAATATATGTATATATATATATATATATATAAGGGAATATTTATACTTTTTGTCTTTGGATTAAAATGAATTAGGTATGGAGTAATGGCAAAATTCGTCCTGCTCCTCATCAAGTCATAGCTAATGGAGACAAAGAAAGATACTCAATTGGATTATTTATGTTTAATGAAGGGGTGATTTGTGTGCCAGATGAGCTTGTTGGCCACAAAACTCCTCTGCGATACAAGCCACTTGATCATCCCGACTATGTTAAACAGGTTATGTACTTTGCCGAGAAGAAGATGGAATATCCTGTAGAAGAGTATTGTGGTATTTAACAAATCCTACTGCCACTTTGATCCTAATATTTATAGATACATTATATATCGTATGTATGTTTATTTATATGTTATTAACTTGTTTTATTCCGCTGTTATGCTTTTGGATTAAAGTTCGAATAAACTTTTTTCATTGTTTTAACAAAAAACTTGTATTATTTCAACAGTAATAAAGTTGATATTGTAAACTTGATATATATATATATATATATATATATCATTGTATAATAAGTTTGATCTTTGGTGTCAATCCTCTTTGATAAATGATAAATGGGAGTAATTTAGAATAAATGTTCCTTGTTTTTTTTTTCTTTTTCAACAGCTTATTCATCTACTTGTCTCAGATTTGTTTTTGAAATTTACAATCTTCTAATCTGAAAAGCAGATTTGATGGGTTTTCAAATCTGTCTTTAGATTTTAAGATTCCTCAACTTTTTTTCTTTCATTCCATGATCAAAAGAGGAAGAACCAGTGAAGAAATATGGGTGAGGAAGGAAATGAAGAACTAATGTAATACATTTTATAAGAAACAATAAATAATATTATCATATATTATATATTACTATTATTTGTCTGAATTATTGATCTAGAAAAAATAGTTTTTAATTAATCTTCAATAAACATAACATCTACATATTTTATTTTAATAATTTTGACCATATTTGCACAAGAAACGACAATTTGGAAAGCATCAAAAAATAGTTTTTACATTTTTTTTTATAATTTTAGAGCACCTTTAGTTGCAAGTTTTACAGTGCAAAAGCAATTTAAAATTAAATAAAAAATTGACTAAAAATAAGAATAAAATATGTTTTTGATATCCACAATTTATTGATTTAAGTATATTCTAGTTGAATTTTATAGGAATTAAATGTATATAAAGTCTTCCAATTTTTAATAATAAATTAAAAATTCCTTTTAATAAATTATAGAAAAACTAAATTGTGTATAAATTATGTGTATATATAATAAATTATATTCGTCTATTCATATCTACTAATAAGTTGACTTATTATGTTTTGTGAATTTGTAAAAAGAGTCATATCATTATTATTTTTATTAAATGAATGACATCTTTATATCAAGTGTGATACATATTTAAATCTATATATATATAATATTTATTACAAAAAAATTTATATTATAGTTAAAATTGCAACTAAAAAATTGTAACCACACACTATATTAGCAACTTAAGACAATGATGTTAGTCCTTAACTTTAGGAGTCATCCAACATATCTTTTAAACATTTATGAAATTACCATATTATAGTCACATTTGGGGTAGGTTTTACAAAATTTGAATACAACATTCGATTAAGGAATATATATTATATGTATATATTCAAAAAATTAGGTAAGGGTTTTTGCTCAAATTTAGTAGTAATCAAACATATATCTTAGACATTTATAAAATTATTATAAACTAAGATAGAGATAAAAATATGTCTAATTTGCAATGAATTTTACAAAATTTGGACCTGACTCGATTCTAAAATTTTAAAAACTAAACCCATCTTTATATCGAGAAAGTTTTAAAAATTAATCTTATTTTTAGTCCTATAGATTTCTGATTAAATCCTGCTGAATTAAAGATCATATATATATATATAGGTATTTTAAATATAAATCAAAGTAAAATTATACGTATTATATATACATAATTTCATTTTTTTACAATCAAATTTGGTTCTTTTTTTACCCATGAGAATTAAAAACTTGATCTTTCTGGTTATATTATTATTTTAATTTATTTGAGAATAATCTAATTAAGAGAAACCACATGTTTTAACTATTATTATTTAAAATATAAATTGAATTGTTATTTATACCAAACAAGGGGTCTGTTTGGCTGTCGCGTTCTTCTCCTACCCTAAATTGTCGCGAATGATTTTTGTCAAAACGTCGAATGCTAACGGTGACTGAGATCTTCAATCTTAAATGTCTAATATTTCAACACCCACGCGCTACATGACACGAATGAATCACGCGATTTGGTACTTGATAGTTCGTTGCGTTAAAAAAATTTAAGCTGAAAAAAAGTATAATATTTGTTAAAATATATTCAAAAAATAATTTTAATATAAAATTTAGTATTATATTTAATTAATTATACTATAAAATAAATAGTAAATACAGAAATGATAAAAATTTATATAATAATAAGAATAATTACTATAATTATTTAAATAATATTTTTTTAATGTTATTCTGATAATTTTGTTCCATCATTATTTATTATTTATTTCAATCATTTTATTCAATATAAATATTAATTTTAAAATAAATACAATCTAAATAATTTATAATTTAATAATAAAAATAAAAAGAATTCAAAATAGATTGTTGGCAGTGTGAGGAAGTTTTTTTTTATATTAATTTTACTTTATTTAGTTTCAATTTTTTATTTATAAATTTAGATAAATCATAAAATCTTTAAAAAGTTAATAACAAATTTAAAGACAAAAAATAATTATAAAAAAATATAAGAATTAAATCATGATTAAGTAAACTTAATATTTAATTTTTTATTGTAATTTTTTAAAAATTAAAACAAATTAACGAAAATTAACAGACACGCGCTCTACATAAGCAGTGGGGTAAAACCATCAAAATTGAAAGGAAATGAAGACTGTGAAGTCCTGCTGCGTAAGTTTCCGTTGCGCCAAAGACTTGGCTTGAAGACTACTTCTCTGCAAGATCAACCTCTCTCCTAGACAACCAAGCTTCAGTAATTGCGCTGTATTTTCATTAGTGTTTGCAGTAGTACTCAAATCAAAATCTAATACCAGGTCAGTTCAATCAGTGATTCCTCTTTCTCTGATTTACTCATTCATATAATTCATCACCAGTTTCATATTTTCCCGAAATCTCCGTTGTTATCCTGATTTATTGTCACTGAATCATATACAACAGCTGTTTCTTCCAATTCTCTGAGATGGGTAGCAAAATTTAAGTGCTTTAGTGTGCCAATTTGTGTTTGAGCAACTGGGTGTTGAAGTTCTATGGGTTTTAGCAAGAGGGTCTGTTACAAATCTTGAGAATTAGGAATCATGTGGAGGGTTAATTTGGTTGTTCTTGTTTCTTCATTGTGCGGATTGATTTTCTTTGGGTATGTAAATTCGTTTATCTCTGCTGCATCTACTTTGGAATTTGAGTTCACAGCTGAATCTACTGGAACTTACACGTATGATAGACTTGATGAAGTGAAGAAGCAGTGTGCTTCTGTTCTAAATTCTGCTGTTGAACTGAAACCTGAAGATAGTAGGTTTTATAGTATTAAAGAAGAACTGGTTTTTAGTTATGGAGATTGGTGGCAGGAAGCTGGCTCTGCCCCAATCTTGCCATTTAATGACAGAGAGGTTATAAACTATCCATCAGAAATGCCCTTGAATTTAGCTTCTTTCTGGGTTACTGATGTTGACAGAGCCCATCAGTCTAAGAAATTTGTTAGTGTCAGTGGCATTTTGTTGCTGGGCATAACAGTTGACAATTCTTTTATGGAGAAACCATATGGTGGAAGTCCTCAGTTTCAGATATGGTCTGGTCATACTCAACTCACAATTTTCTTTCAAGGGATTTACACCGAAACCAAACAAAATGGTGGGGAAAGAGTAATGTGCTTACTAGGAAACACAATGTTGCCTTCTAGGGAATCTGATTCTAGTGATCCATGGGAATGGGTGAAGGCATCTGATAACCAATCGCCTCTTTTGCAAGATGATCAAATTCTCCTAGTTGTTCGTTACCCAAAGACTTTCACATTGACTAGTCGTGCAATAAGAGGGGAATTGAGAAGTTTGAATCCAAAATCAAATCTTAAGTACTTTGATAAAGTTCACATTTCATCCCAGCTAGGGAAGTTGTCGCGATATGTGTTTGAAAGGGAAAGATTTGTATCAAGGGCTTGTAATCCTTACCCATACAGAGATAGTTTGATGAATGGTGACATTGATATTTATAAGGGGGTTGCAATTTGTGAAATTCTTGAGCAAGTTAGTAGCGGAGGGGCTCTCACAGTTTCTCCAAACT